AGCCCAGGCGGGTGCCCGCCTCTTGCGGTCCTGGGCAAGCTCTCGGGAGCCGCCAGCCTGGTCCCGGGAAGAGGGGGAGGGTTGGGGGGCATCGGGTGGGTGGCTCGATCCGTGCCAAGTGCAGGGTCTGCTGGCAGGCTTGTACCTGGCACGGGCAGCGTAGCCAGCCCGTGCCTCTTTAAGAGGTCCGGGGCAGGGAGGGGGGCATACGAGTTCCCCTGGTGTTGGCCAGAGTAGCCACCAGGGAAAGCTGGGGAGGGCTAACCTCCCACTAGTTCGAATTAAGGGGCTACACTCCCCTTAATACGAACTAGTAAGTTCGAACTAGGCTTAGTCCTCGTACAATGAGGTTTACCTAGTTCGAACTAAGTGCTCCGCTAGTTCGAATTAAGTTCGAACTAGCGGAGCACTAGTGTAGCGCCTATCAAAGTTAATTCGAACTAACATCCGTTAGTTAGAATTAACTTTGTAGTATAGACATACCCTCTGTGTGCAATAAACCAGTGGTTCTCAACTGGGGGTACATGTACCCTGGGGGAGTAGGCAGACATCTTCCTGGGAGTATATCAACTAGTTTAGATATGTCTAGTTTTACAACAGGATGAGTCCTTGCCAGAGTCAAGATGTACACTAAAGGAGTCAGAGTCCAGTTGTTTTTGCAATACAGCCTACCTCTACTCCAAATATTGTTTTCAAAAAACTGTGGGTGGGGCTAGGAATAGTTGAAATTCAGAGGCTTCTCAAACAATTATTCCAGGGGCAGGGAATTTGCCGCTTTTTTCTGATTACTAAAATTTGCTCACATTGTGAGTGCTACCAGAAATAAACAGCAATAGTACATAAAAAGCTATTCGTGTGTGTTTTAAAGGTCATGATGTATCTTTTTATAATGGGAGAAAATTTTTTAAGCTCTCCCAGTACTCCTTGACAGGTGAATCCTTTTTGTGCAATTTTTAAAGAGGGGGAAATCCTTTTGGGACAGAGACTAAGGCAGGAAAATGTCAGTCTGAATGATGAAAGTTATAGGGACTGAATATGGAGATGCTGAAAGATTAGAATTGAAATGCTTATGCAATAGTAATTGGTGAAGTTGCCACTGTTCCAGCTATAATGCAAAATAATACTAGTTTATAATATGTGGAATTTGTATGATTAGGTACCAGTAACTGATAGTGATTTAGTTTACAACTCTCTTGTTGAAGCTGAGTATCAGTACAAGATATAAACCTGAAATATTTCTCCGTGTATACAACTGTCTGCTGAAAATTACAATACAATGGGAAAGAACCAGTGGACACAAGTCAGATGTAAAGGGAACATACAGAAACGTGTTGGTAAACACTTTAATCTGCCTGGTCACTCATTAAGAGATCTTTAAGTTGCTGTTTTGTTACAGACCAATTCCACAAGCCAAATACATAGGGAAGGGTTGGAACTACAATTCATTCCCAAGTTTAATTCTTGTGCCAGTGGTCTGAATCGAGATACCAGATGGCTGGGACATTATCAACCAACCAAACAATGAAGTTGCTAATGATTCTTTGTCTGTGTAGAAACTGGTGTTAGTACTCTTCCTCTCTAATTGCTACCTAATGTTTCTTATCTGCTTCTTTTAACTATCCAGTCTTTAGGTGCTTATAGACTATCAGTTTTGCCTGTAACATACTGCTCGGATTGCCCTTCCCCACCACCCTCCTACCATAGTTTTCCACTCCCCCCCCTTCCCTATTTATTTTTGGTTCTGCACAACCAACACTCCAGTTATCTGAAGAAGTGGGCTGTGCCCACAAAAGCGCATGATACTATCTACATGTTTTTTAGTCTTTAAAGTGCTACCAGACTTTTTGTTGTTTTTTAAGTTTATTCTGAAAAACTGAAACCTCGGAAGGCATTTTATAAATTCACCACTGGATGGAGACAGCGTATTACAATTTGTGAAAAGGGCTTATTACTAAAGGAACTATTATGAAATCCTTTAGCATAAGGGATTTCATGGAGGGAACATAATGCAGCAACAAGCAGTGAAATGCCTACTAGATTTTTATGTGGAAATAATTTCATGGTGACTTTTTTTACATCATGTGTATTTATATACAGGTACTGAGAAAAGATGGAATTAGTAAAAAACCTTCCCTTTTCTGTACTTTCACAGAAAGCTATGATTACACAGAGCAAAAGAAGCAAGAAAAGACAAAGGGAAAGGTGGTAGAGTCCTTCCTTATTCTTCTCTGGTAAAATGTGATGTGATATACTTGCCTCATGATCATTAAAGATGTTCCCAGACCCAGAGAAGAGCTGTGGGAAAGCTTGTCTCCCTTGCCCACAGAAGCTGGGAAATACATTACCTCACCCACCAAATATCCTGGGATTGATGTGGCTACAACAATATTGCAGACAAAATGTTCCCTGCCTGCTGAGGGTTTCAGGCTGAGCTGGAACTGGTGCTGCGGTTTTGGCATCAGTGGTTGGATGGTGCTCATGGCAGCCCGAGTTGCATAGGCTGGACTGCGGTTCAGACTACCATCCACAGTGGCTGCTGCAGCATTTGCCTTCTGCTGGGTTGTTTGTAATGTCTGTGCAGAGTGGGAACTTGCAATCCATGGAGTAGTTGGGCAGCAGCTCCTACCTACTCCATGTGTTCTTTGGTATACTGCTGCACTGGAAAGGAGTAATGGTGAGTCTCCAGCTGCTGTCTTCTCCTTCTGCCCCTCATGTTGAGATCCTGAGGGCAGTTTGCTGGCAGACATGGGAGGAGGTGACTGGATTGAGGCAGGAACAGTCTTTAGGGCTAGCACCCACAGCTTGTGCAAACCTTATGAAACCTTGAAAACCTGAGTTGAAAACAGTCATAGACATTAATTTCCTCTACAGAAACAGGGGCAGTATTGAAGGGACCTAAAGTTATTTTGGGGGGCCACCAAAAGTACATATGCTCCTTTTAAAATAAAAGGATTAACATTAACAGAAATAAATCTTAAGCTGTATGTAGGACTAATTATATAGCCTGAAAAAAATTCTTCTGTATGACTAAAACAAAACACCACCTACCCAAATTGCTGCACACCTTTGTGTTTCCCTTATGTGCCTAATTGGTGCTTGTATGTTTCATTTGTTATCTAAGGTTCTGTTTACATAAAGGACATTTTCACTGGTGTAACTATGCTGTTGTAGCTAAACTTGTGCAAACCACAAATGCTGATGTGCTGTCCTGAGCCATGTACTGCCCAGGGTATGTGGGTAAGTTGTCTTTGTGGAATGCTTATACCCGTTCCTACTTCAATGTAACATCTTACAATGGCAACAAATTCCTTCTCCCATAATCCAGCTGACCAGGAAAGTGCATCTCCCTCTTCAATGTGGACCTCACTACTTGTGATTGTCATTTTTGTTACCTCCAAGATAGATAACTGCAGCTATACTTGTGGACGAAGATGACTCCATGCAGAAACTATGAGTGTACAACATGCAGAAGCTCAGCTCCTAAGCAATAAAGACAGATGAGTCTCCATGACAACAGTTTCAGCACTATTTGCCCCATTTGATGCTTGGTCAAATGCAAGGTCTGGGTCTGAATTTTTAAGATTGTTGAAGGTTAGGGCCTAACAAGCTTAGTGCTCAGTTGGGCCTGCTAGGCACAGGCTGTGATAAAGGTCAGTGAGGAGACGTGCCACCCGAGAGATAAAACATTTTCACCAAGGGAAGCAGATTGTTACAAGCCTCAACAGGGTACTGACACGCTCCAAAATAAAATCAAACCTCCCCAGATTGGAGCTTCAATCCCTGCTCTGTAAAACAAACAGCAACAAACTCCTGCAGTGTCTTTGGTTACCAATAAAAAGAATCAGAAAAGGGCTTAATTTAACACAAAAACAGCCATAATGGGGCACATCAATGGTCCATCTAGCACAGTATCCAGTCTTTTGAGGGTGCTAGATGCTTCTGTTCATATCCTCTGAACAGGGAAATGTATTGTGTGATACATCCCCTATTGTTCAGTACCAGCTTCTAGCAGTCCGAGGGAAACCCAGGCTATGTCTACACTGCCCCCTATTGCGCAAAAAAAATGCAAATTAGGCAAAGGGTGGACTATCACCGTGCCTCATTTGCATAATTAATGAGGTTCCGTTTTTGCACAAGAGACTCTTGCGCAAAAAAGGAGCCATCTACCGAGCTTCTTTTTGCACAAAACCCCTCTTGCACAAGAGCCGTTCTTCATGGAAAAAAAGGAAGAACAGCTCTTGCGCAAGAGGGTTTTTTTGTGCAAAAACAGAGCCTAAATAATTATGCAAAGGAGCGTAGTCATATTCCACACTTTGCCTCATTTGCATATTTTTTTGCACAAGAAGGGGCAGTGTAGACATAGCTCCAGAGCATGGGGTTGCATTCTTGGACATCTGGAGTAATAACCATTGATGGACATATCCTCCATCAATGAAACTTCTTTCATTTTTATACAGTTATACTTTTGGCCATCACAACATCCCATGGCAACTAGTCCCAGACATTAAGGGTGCATCTAGACTACCATTTTTTTTCAGAAAAACAGCCATTTTCCCCAAAAAAGTCACCTATGTCCACACTGCAATCGCGTTCTTTCGAAAGAAAATTGAAAGAACGCGGGGGGGAATTTCCGGCATCGGTAAACCTCATTCTACAAGGAAGAACACCAAGGCATGTGTGGACACAGAAGAGACAGTTATTTTGAAAAAAGAGGCCTCCAGGAAAAAGCACAGGTGCCCCAGTGGATACTCCATCCACACTAATCTCAGCTCTATTGTTCCTGTCTCCAGCCAGGTCTTAAAGCTGCAGGCACCCGAGGCAAGCCTTGTGATAGAAAGCCGGCCTCAGAGTAGCACCCTGACCACGTGGCTCTCCCTGCCACACCAAGAATGAGCCAAGGCACAGCCACAATCCCCTGAAATCCCCCTGGCCCTTCCAGGGAGCAGCTCCAGGGGTCCCAGGACCCACCCAGGGGCACCAAATGCCGGGCACCATCCTACTTGGGGGCTGAGATCCGGGCCCTCCTGGAGCTCTGGAGCAAGATGTCTCTCCAGGAACTTCAGTTGTGCCACAGAAATGCAGATATTTATGATCAGATGGCTGAGGCTCTTAGCCAGAAAGGACACCACTCCTGCAGCCTTGACCAAGTGAGGAGCAAGGTCAAGGAGCTGCTGCAAGGCTACACACAGGCCAGAGAGCGCAGCTTCCGCTCCAGTGCAGGACCCCACTCCTGCCCCTATTACAAAGAGCTCCACCAGATTCTGGGGGGTGGGCAAGCCCTGTCCCCAGCCATTGCGGTAGACTCAGGCCTCAAGACACCCGTGGTCACCCAGCCAGAGCTCCTGGAGGAGGAGGACGAGGAGCGACAGCAGCTGCAGGACGAGGAGGACAGCAGCTGTGTTGTCATCCTTACCCCAGGCCCTAGACATCTCCCAGGCATCATCTGATGCTGGGGAAGGAATATCAGGTGAGTGCTGTCAGGTTGGCACAAACACACAGGGCAGGGGAGGTGGGAGCACAGGGAATGGGGTGCGTTTGTTGCTGGACATACTTGGCCTGGACAGCATGCAGCTGACATGCACATGCAGTGGCAGTGTAGAACATGTCATCTCAGGAGCCAGTCCTGGAGCACACATGGGGGAAGCCCCACACATGTCCGACCCCTGGGAGGGATGTCCTCCCCCCACCAGGCACTGCCGGAAGCAGACTGGGCACAAGGGGAAGCCCCACACATGTCCGACCCCTGGGAGGGATGTCCTCCCCCCACCAGGCACTGCCGGAAGCAGACTGGGCACAAGAGCGCACACACGACTTCCCACAGACCTACGAGTGTCACACGTAGCACATGGCCATGCTTGCACGCACAAGGCACCACCCGCTCCCGCAGACAGCGCTGCCAGGTACAGCTGTGTGTGCGGGCCCCAGGGAGGGCCAGGCCACTCCAGGCCCCTCTCCCGCTGATGGGAGCTCACTCTGGCCAGACACTTCCCTGGCCTGCTTGTCTATGCAGGGGAGGGAGGGAAGTGAACAGGGTGGTCCCCATGGCATCTCTGGGCCCCTTGTGAGGTGGGGCCTGCTGTGCAGGCCACATGTGGGTTTGCTCTCGGGACATCGCTGTCCCTTGTTCCAAGGACAGTTGCTTGCTGCTCACAGAGGAGGGCACGGCCTCAGGGACGGTGTCTGCATGGATGACTGACCTCCTCTCCCTCTTGTCCTCCACAGTCGGACCAACCATCACTGAGGGGTGATCTACACCAGCTCAGGCAGCCAACGAAAGCCGCGGGAGCTGCAAGCACTGGAGGGTCCACCACGACCTCTTGCAACAGCACATCACAGTCCTGCGAGACATGCAGCAAGCACTTGCCCAAAAGGTCCGCAATGACGCCAAGTGGTACAATCACATGTGGGACCAGCTGGTGCGGCAGGGCGAAAACATGTGTGCCACCGTCTGGGAGGTGATGGCATACCTGGGTCCTGTCCCTGTTCCTGCTCTCCCCACTCCCCACCCATCGCTCCTCACTCCTGCTCCCCCTGCCATCCCTGAGCCAACTGCAGCCCCCCCTCCTGCCCAACCACCTATTGTCCCAGGCCCCACCCAACCCCGAGTCCACCGAGGTCCCCAGACCCGAGGCAGCACTTACAGTCACTCCATGCACCACTCCCAGCCCTGAGCCCCCCTCCACATTCTCAATCTCTCTGTCCCTCCCCCCCACAGGTTCTCAGCCCCCCTGCACTCCAGGGACTTTGATTATAAATAACAAAAAACAAAGTTTATTTTGAAAGGTGTCTTTATTAATTGTACAGAGAATGGGAGTAAGGAGGAATTGTGGTGGGACAGGGCACAAGCCCCCATTGGGGAGGCCCTGGGAAGAGTTACTGGGCTCCTTCCGAGAACCTCTCCCTCAGGGCCTCCCAGATGCACAGCCCTGATGGGCCTGGCGGATGGCAGCTGTCCATGACTGCTCAAATAGCATCCCTTTGCCACCAGCCTGTGTCCCCCACCCCAGGAGGAAGGCCTCCCCTTTGCTCTCCACAACGTTGTGGAGCACGCAACACACAGAGACCACCTCAGGGATGTTGCGCTTCCCCATGTTGAGATGGGTCATCAGGCACCTGAACCAGGCCTTGAGGCACCCGAAGGCGCAGTCCACCCGCATGCGAGCCCAGTTTAGGTGCACGTTAAATTGTTCCTTGCTTGGGTCCAGGTGGCCAGTGTAGGGCTTCATGAGCCACGACATCAGTGGGTAGGCCGCATCGCCCATGATGCAAATCGGCATCTGCAGATCCCCAACCGCAAAGTCCTGCTGGGGGAAGAATGTTCCAGCCTGCAGCCTGCAGTAGAGGCTAGAGTTCCTAAATATGCAGGCATTGTGTGCCTCGC